ACTATTTTATTATTCACATTTTGAAGTTGCGTGTGAAACTTAGCAGCAATATAATGAAGTAAAATACTCTTACGCTATTTTAATATTACAAGAATTTCTTTGGGATTTGCTTAATAATAGTCTAAGTGCACCATACACTATTTTTAAACTATTGTAGTACCTACACTTTATTAAAAAATTTCGTTTTTTGCGAAGAAGTTCGTAATCCAAAAAGATATTTAAGAAAACTAAAGATTTTTCTAATAGATTAAAGGATTGTCTATCCAATGGTACGATTATCGAATAATAGTATATATGGCATTTACACTTTTTCTTTATTCCAGCGACGATATTTATGACGAAAGTAATACTCATTTTATACTCATAGATTCTGAGCACTCAGATAAATTTTTTAAGGGAATGAGCTCAAACAAATTTATCGAAAACAGCTTTAATATTCGTTTCGAATTTTGTTGCCTTCTGTACTATGTATTATAATTTGTGACGATTTTTGTATTTGTGCTCAATGCGGAAGCTCCAAATAACCTCCAATCGGACTCAAATTGTATATTTCATAGTTTTGCACGTTCTTAGATGGTGCCCCAACTAAAAAAAAATTTGGCTTAATACAAATTACGTTCACCTTAATATATACATATATACGTTTATTTCGAAAAGGGATCGGATACGATTTTCGGACTTGAAAATTTGGACAATTTCCAACAAATCTACATTAGCAGAATGTAAGTACATTTTCAGAAAAACTATTCGTGCTTGAAGGCAACTGTGAATTCATACTTTCTAAAATCCAATTTATAATATTTTAAATAAAAGCCGAAACAATATATGTATTTTAAGTTTTATTTTTTATTACTCTGTCTAGTCTCTTAGTGCGAAAATGCATTGATTTACCGCAAAGGCACACATTTCGCTCTGCATTAACAGGTTTTCTACTCGTATGATGTTTTTTTTAAGTTTTTATCAATTGCACTGGTCTACAAGGGTTTTGCGAATAAGACGGGACCTGGTGTTTCCGAACGGATTTTTCGTGCTGAACACGAATCTGGGGTCCAAAACTTCCCATCACGTCACGTTTTCGAGAAAAAAGGGGTTGAAACCCCTAAAAACAGCGTTTTTGGCCATTTTTGAAAAATTGTAGAGCTGAACCCTGACGTGCTACAAACTTTGTATATGTCAGAAATTAAAGGCTAAATCGTGCCCTTTCGAATGAGCCCTATGCCGAATTAATCGCATGCACCCTTAGATCAGGGGGTGTATTTGTGTCTAGGAGTCCAAGGAAAATTGATCGCAGAAAGAATTTCATCTTAAACGACCATATAAAATGAATGATGCTAAGGTCTTAACTACATTAAGAGTCGCTGATTACGAATCTGAAGTTAGATTTTAAAAATTCAAAATGGCGGATCCAATATGGCGGACTTAAAAATTTTTATTTAGCGAATTTCAGTTTATTTTTTATATCCACCATATTCGACCCGTCATCTTAAATTTTTAAAATCTAACTGCAGATTCGTAATCAGCGACTTTTAATATAGTTAAAACCTTGGCATTATTAATTTTCTATGATCGTTTAAGATTAAATTCTTTCTGTGATCAATTTTTCCTGCACCCCTAAACACAAATACACCCCCTGCTTTAAGGGTGCACGCGATCAATTCGGCATAGGGCTCATTCGAAAGGGCACGGTTTAGCCTTTAATTTCTGATATATGCAAAATTTGTACCACGTCAGGGTTCAGCTCTATAATTTTTCGAAAATGGCCAAAAACGCTGTTTTTAGGGGTTTCAACCCCTTTTTTCTCGAAAACGTGACGTGATGGGACATTTTTGACCCCGGATTCGTGTTCAGCACGAAAAATCCGTTCAGAAACACCAGGTCCCGTCTTATTCGCAGAAAAAAAGTTGAAATTTGTAGACCAGTGTTGTCGATTGAATTGGTAAAACAAAATTTCTCGCTTAAATTTATTCAGTATGAGTTGAGAAGTTATCAAATTTTGGCAGATCAGGGCTCGAATCGTAACATCCGTTCACGGATCGAAAACCATACGAAAGAGATTTAAGTGATACGCCAGTCGTATAAGCTGAATGGGAAAAAGAGTTCGTTCACGTATGTCATAATTCGAAATATGTGCTTTTACGTGACGAGTAATACGATATTGTATGTGATGATTCGAGCCCTGAAGAAAACTAAATGCTCACAATCTCTTGGGTCGGTAAAAAAAACATTGGAATTTGTAGTTTTGAAATCTAAACATGAAGGAATAGTAACACTGGATCAAAAATTTGTGTTTTTACTCCACGGATTCCGAAAATCGATTAATTTTTTTCTATGGTTAAGTTTTCGAGATAACTGCAATGTACCGGTATTCCGCTAAAAAGAAGTGGTTCCACTTAATCACGTATTCTCACGAACCAATCGAACAAACGTTACACAGGATGTGGCAAATTAAAGCTAACAAAATTTTCCATAAACCATATACATATATTTATGTATGTACATCGATTTTCGATAGGAATGATAGTTTCTGATAAACTAATTCATCATTCCAATTTTTTTTTATGAAAGCATGAATAAAATGTAGACTTTACTGGGGGGAAAATAAAGAGATAACGATTTTTTGTATTTTTTTTTATTTTGTATGACTGTTCCTTTCCCAAAAAAATTAAGCTACCAATAAAGAAAATCGTTTGATAACCACTGGTTTACAGCAAAAATTATCTATGGATACCACTATCCCATTCCGACAATCGAGATATATATCTTTTATTCTGTGGATAACATTTCGAGATATTTGCGATTTACCGTTATTCAGCTTAAAAAATAGTCGTTTAAAATTCCACATAAACCGTATATACATCACTTTTGGATAGCCCTGATAGTATCTGAGAAATTAATTTATCATTTCTGACACCTCTTGCTTTTGATGCATGACACAATAATAGAAAGGTTTTGTAATAAAACAGTTTTCTCGCCCCCACACATAAAATCGGCTCCTTTACTTGTGCAGAATGTTGCTTACTCTACAGTTTCTAGTGATATTAGTAGTAAAACCAAAAATTCTTCATACTAAATATTCGTTGGCATCACCTTCGTTTGCGTAATTTTCTAGAATAAGTGTAGAATAGTGACCGTTTAGCTATAAAATAACCAAAAATGCCGATTGGTAGAACTTTTTACGCTGATTACAACGATGCCAAATTTATTTGGCGCAGGCAAAAAATAACAAGGATATAAGAGGTTTATTTGCTTTGTTTATTTGTATTTTTTATTATCACTAAATTGTTGAAACCCAAAAGTACATCATGGTAAAATATGTAATATCGAATTAAAGATAACTTGTACTTTCTAAATAATATAAATTTTTTTTTTCAAAAAAGATTATTTCATGAAAAAATAACAGTTGTTCGTTTTTTAGTGGTTTTGGTTTAAAAATACAAGAAGCTATAAATTATGTACATAGCTGAAAGACAAATTAATTATCTTTATGGTGGCGTCATTAGTGTTTTTATCGCTTATACCTACAGTTCGTAAGATATTAATATTTAAAAAAATCTAAAAACTGAACTTTAAGCTTCTAGAACGTCTTCATTTTTTTACTTGCGCCAAATAATTTTGGCATGGTTGAAATGAGCATAAAAAGTTCTATTGATCTGCAGTTTTCGTTGTTGCATAGCTGAACGGTCGGTTCCAGGAAATGATGAATAACTTAAATCAAAAATGCACATATTTATGTATTGTTTAGTATTTCCATTAAAACACCAAATATATTCCAAATTCGCATAGAATAAATAATACACATTTTACTTCTAATTGTATACTTGGCGTACTTTTTGTAGTACGTTTCTACTACCGTTTTTGCAAATGGCGATCACATTCTTCCCCTTTTTCCTACTTCCAAAATACAAATCTAGATAAAGGAGTGTCAAATTTTAGATGTCACAAATTACACAACCTTGTATTATTGAATCATGCTTTTGATGCAAACACTCCACCTACTCAGGTGTACGTGGCGTATGAGTAACACTCTTTTCTGCTCATATGTATTTCATACAAAAAATCCTTGCGCATTTTCCTTTAACTAATCATTTGGGGGATTCACAACGGTGTCGTAAGTGTCGTATTGTTGTATGTCGTAAAATTTATAAGCATAAATAAATGTTTAGACCAACCAAGTATTTTTTAACACTGCGAAAATTCAAGATATGACTTTGATGGTACTTTGCGAACCTCCTTAATATATTTTTTTGGCGTTTAAAGTTTACGACATACAACAATACGACACTTACCGACACCGTTGTGAATACCCCAATTATTTTCTTATTTATCAATCGATTTTCTTCATTGGTAGCTTAATTTTTTTTAAGGGAACAGGCTTTCACACAAGTGCAAAACATTTACACGTAAATTGTTATTTTTTTAATTTTTTCCCTGTTAATGTTTGAATTTTTTGCATTTTTTCCATCAAAAACACAAAAAATGTGGAACGATTAATTAATTTGTCAGAAACTATCAGGGCTATCGCAAAGTGATGTATATACGATTTATTGAGAATTTTATTTGCTTTCATTTGCCGTATCTCGCATATTATTTAATTGGTTCGTAAGATATACTCTTTTTTTTTAAGCTGAATCACGGTAAATTGCAAATATCTCGAAAACGTATCCATAAAATAACTCGATTTTCGGAATCAGCGAACGATTCTACATACAAATTGGATAGTGGCGTCTGGAGAACAAAATTAAAATTAGAATTTGTGATCCAGTGTAAATTAAAAAGGAATGTGATCAAATAAATCGATCGGTTTATGGAGAATTTTGTTAGCTTTCATCTGCTGTGGTATTTCGTGATTAAGTAGAACCACTTTTTTAAGCTGAATAAGCGCAAATTGGAAATATCTCGAAAACTTATCCATGAAAACAATAACTCGATTTTCAGAATCAAGACGAATAAGTTGATCAGTACTTATGTTTTTACTTGTGGTAGTATCATTTTTAGTGCTCTTTCGCTGTAAAGTTAAAAGTAATTTCCAAAAGAGGCAAATTGAGGTTTCTTAGGGAGTTTAAGCAACTTTCCAACGCACATCTTTTATTATTGCATCATTAAAGGCAACAAAATATATTTCCATTTAATTATATATGCTGCGTTTTATTATTCAAATCGGAATAAAAATTGTTTGTGTAATTTGCTAGTCAAGGCATGTATATTGAAAAAGTTTTAATAGTAGAGCAGCTAATTTGGTTATTTTTAAATTATTGTTCAACCCTTTTTATAACTTTCACAAACATTCTAAATTTGCAAAATGTGTTTGCATGTGAAGCCTTTTTTCATAAAAAGAAGCGATTTAAAGTCGGCTTCTGGAACATTCGCTTATGTTAGGAGTACAAATGCTGCCTAATCGGCCTTACAAAGGATGGAGCGATGCTTCTGGAGGCAAGTAAATTTACTAAGGAAGAAAGTCGTTCAGTATTTTCAGAATATTTTTTATTATCATTATTTTTTTGATTATAAAGTATTCATACCATTAGTAAACTAAACTAACTTCACTGAATTTGACTGTTGTGGTGAAGATGCGATTTTACAAACGAGTAATTTGGATTAATCCGATATCTTTCCAAAAATATTAATTATAATTTCAAATATTTAGTAAAACTTCTATTTAGAATTTCAACTAGTCTACACAGTGGGGCTGAACGACCTACATGTAAGTTACGGAATTAGAAGTAAGTAAGGCTTCAATTCTCATACAAATTTAGGACTACCGTTAGTTTCTTCTTGATGCAATGATCGAACTTAACCAAATTAGTATGAGTTCACGCCGTGTAAAGTTATCCGGTAACATTCTTAAAAAAATATCCTGATGAATTGACAAACTACTCCTTTTTAAAGTCGGTTAAAAACAGCTGGGAATGTTCACTCAATTTTGGGAACTAACTTTTCAACACCATATTAAAAATAAATTTAATTTTGTAAATGCCAGCAGTAAGAACAAACTATTTTTGGTCATTTAAATCAGTTAAAAACACTTTACCAATATCCTTGGTAAACTCACTTCAAATCCAAATATTAAAGGAAAATAAAGTCTTACTTCTAGTCGATTTTTCCTACTCGCGCTCCGACAAAAGGGCTCTTTTTTCTTAACATACATGAGTGCAAATCTTTTGAAAGAGTACTAACATCTACGTAATTTTGGGTACAGAACCTATTAAAATGCAAGTTTACTCGGAGTTCTTCTTTTATGGATAACGAAAGTGGAAGTAACATACAAATCTACAGCACTAGAGTTTTTCATTTAAAATATATAAATTATATTTGCGATTTGATTTAACGTGCCAATTGTGCTCGACCCTTCGACGCGGAACCTGTGGGTTGTGTTGACACTTGTTGCGGTGTGGTTGTTCCTGGTGTCTCTGCTATGATACTGTTTGTGCCAATATTTGGACTGACAATGGACGTTGTAGGGGTACCAGGTACAGACACGATGCTGTTGCTAGTGGCACTTTCTGTGACTGTGGTTTTTCCCATAGTTCTTGTGCAACGTATACAGAAATAATCGTCATCTGCTTTTATTTGACTACGATTGAGCCCAACGCAAAACATATGAAACCACTCATTGCAGCCCCCATCACACTGAACCCAATCAACTTCACGACCAGTTGGTTTATGACAATTCTCTGCGCGACATTCTTCTTCATCGTCTTCTTGCTGTGCCATTTGATTACGTTGCGACTGCTTTTTTTGACCGACTACATTACCACTGTTGTTTGCATTAGTTCCCACACGTTTGCGTTTTTTCTGGCCGGATAATGTGTTCGCGGCTAAGTAAGCGCTCCCGCCATTTGAGTGTTTACTGTCAGAAACGTCATCAAGTTGTGGTTGCTTAGTATTTGTATCCGTTGTTGATTTTCGTGTAGACTTTTTAGAAGAAGAATTATAAGATTTATTAGGTGTTGCAGTCTTTTTGCGCGGCAGTGGACAACTGCTACTAATTAGATCTAACGACCGTCGTTTTTTATTACCACTGGTAGAGTTTCGGCCACTAATACTACCACTATTGCTGTTAGGACTGCTTTGTACTAATAGACTGTCATTCGAATCTTCGCCAGCTGAATGAACGCTGCATACATTTTGCAAAGATTTTTTATGTTGCATTTGATGTTGCTTTTGGAGTGCAACTGCTTCGTCTACACACAATGGCTGAATAGCTGCCAATATACGCCATAACTCATATGATTCATCTAGTGAAACTTCAAGGAGATCACCTTCCATCATTAAATCAATTAGATTTTCCTTTTCGCTGTCAGACAAAAGTTGTTGTAGCTCGAGATGTGGATTGGGCTCTAAATTTAGCAGATCCTCTTCATCATTGCTAAAAGTATCTTCAACAATTTGCAGGCGACCCTCCTCATCATCATCAGTACTATCTGGGTTATCAGAAGTGGCAGCGGTATCCTTGGAATTGCGATTGCCTCTCCGTCGATGTTGCTTGCGAAAATTATTTCCATCCAATACTCCAGTAACGCAAGCTGCTTTCTGTTTTTGCTTTCGCTGGTGCACTAAAATAGCTTCGAAAGCGGCGGTTACATCAGGACTAGTCAGTACCTTTCGAGCACGATCTTGCCAATTCATAGCACGTTCAGCGAGACAGCGCAGTGCTTCATCTTCTGGTAAACGTATAGGTAAACGTTGTAGTGATACAAGAAGTGGAAGGATAATTTCCAGCCGAGGTCGCTTGGACCGCACGCACGACGGGCAGAGCCACTTGGACCGGGAAATATAACTAATACCTGAGGATGGACCCGAATTTCCTAAAAGCGGTGGTACACAATCCTCGTGGAACCAATCACGACACAACTGGCAATTATACATAACTCCTTGAAACGGATTTTTACATAGGCAATACAAATCTTTCAAAGGATTTTTGGACATATTTTGACGTCTTAGTTCGCGCATATCGCGTAACTCTTTCTCTTCAGCTTTCTTGAAGGAGTCTACTATTTGTGCAGGATTCATTTCCTTTACAAAGTCATCCTCAAATGGCTGTTTTAAATCTGAGTCAATTATGACAGCGTCAGAGCGGGGCATTAAAACCTCAAGTAAAGTGTAAAATGTTTGCTTTTTCAAAAACACCCGAGCGGTGTTGTCTTTCCATTCATGTGCACTATTTAAATGACCTTGCATACGTTTCAACTCCTCAAGCTGAATTGGAATATTCCTGCCACGGTCCACAATTGATTGTAGAGTATGACAGTAGGGGAAATGGTCGTTTGTTTGCAGCTGTTCTACTGAAAGTAACCATTCTTTAGCTTTACGTAACGCGTCTTTAAGTAGTACGAATGATGGCACCAGACCATCTATTTCTGCAGCTGATTTGAGAAACAGCTCAATGTCGGCTAGCTCATGTTGTTGCGTAGTACACCGGAAATAGCGAGCCGCCTGCTTTTCCCATGCTTCAATTGCGGCTCCAATCTCCTGCAGTTTACGCATTTCTTTGTCAATTATTGGATCAGTTGGATCTAATTCAGTTGTTGCGCTGGCCAGTAAGTTTTTTATGTCACTATAAGTTAATTTGGTAGAAGGATTTCGCATACCTTGCGAACGTTTATACCACTTCAACTGCCTTTGACGCATGTACAACCGATTCATCTGAGGTAATTCTATTCTGAGCGAGTTACCTTCACTTATTAGTTGCTCTACTTCAGGCTCCTCCAACGAATCAATTGATCGGCTCAATAAGGAATTTGCACGTTCCAAAAACTGTTTGCCTAGGACAAGCAATTCTCTCACAGATGTGCCCTCCTCTATAATACAGCATAAATTATCGATTTCCTGCACAAACAATTCCAATTCCTCCATTGTAAGTTTATATTGAGCTGCTTCCTGGTTATTGTCAGAGCGGGTGCGAACCTAGAGAAATAAATAAACATAACATATTATTCAAAGGCCACAAAAAAGATAGGAATACAATAGCATAACTAAAAAGCATATCGCTACCTTCTAATAATAATAGCTATAATTGGCTCTTACGCAATATGTTAGTGTTTGGCCGAGCTTCTCATTCGATTTGTGGCGTGCGCCTTGATGTTGTCTCAAAAGGGGAGGGAGCTACAGTTTTACGCCGACTTCGAGCAGCGATTGTATTTTTATGAGCTGTTTTTCATGGCAGAAACACACTCGAACGTTTGCGAAGGGCGACCGTTATAAAAAAAAAAAAACTTTCTAATTTTTAATTTTTGATGTCGCATAGCCGCCACTACGTCGCTACCTTATAGTGCGTTTAAATTGCCGAGTTAAACACATTAAACGGGCTTGAACCAGTTAAATGAAGAAAATGCGTTTGCAAACAAGTTAAATTGCATGTAACTGTTGTTGGAAATTTTAACCAGTTAAATCATTTAACTCGCTTGAAAACCAGTTCAGCATAAAGTTGTAACCATCGGAAAGCATTCTGATTCAGCCAATCAGGAAGAGCCAAAAGCTTGCGTTTGGCACCCCAATCTTCAGAATACTCACAAAAAAAATATTCAAGGCAAAATTGACAAAATATGTTTGTTAAGACTTGGAAAACAAAATTTGTCAAACTGAAAACGATTTATCAGATTTACCTATCTATTCAAACAAAATGAAAGCATTTATATCATTTTTATAAAAATACTAGTTGTTAATTTGAATAAAGTATATTTGTCTCTTTAAAAAAATATATTCAATCATATTTATAAATCCTTATTCAAATCAACTTTTACCCTATGAAATGGAAAAACTTTATAATTGTGATTAAAAAACTGTAAATCATCTATTGTTGTATTCACAAAAAGTATTTTCAATGTAAACACCACTTTTTTATCCAATCGATTAAAATTGTTTAAGTTGAAACCATGTACTATTAAAAATGTAATGAAAGAGAAAACAAAAGAATAAAATTGACGTCACCTGCAAGAGCGTGCATTTGGAGTGGCGTGCGTATTTTGTATTTTAGTAACAAATTAATGTATTTACATACGTATTGTGGGGAATACTGCGTCAAGCGAAGCGAACAACAAGAAAATGGCAGAATGTTCGATGAAAGACGTAGAAAATTCGACAACAAGAAACGTCGAGTGGAGGAATACTGCGAACAGCAAGAGAGAATGAGCGATAGACGACAGAACGTTCTAGAGTTGCCATGAGTATGAGCGCGGGAATATAAGGCCGCTGCTACAGCGCACAAAAAGTTCAGTTGCGAATCAGCAAACTACAAGTTAAATTGTAAAACAGAGATCAATTGTGTTAGTAAGTTTTGTAAAGTGTTTTAATTGCTTTAAGAAGTATTGTTGATTGTTGTAATTGCATAAACAAGTATTATAAAGTCTTTGTTGTACAATAAAGTTAATTGTACTGTAATTTGGTCATCTTGAGCATTTACTTAACAATCCAGCGATACGAACCGAAAGGATCGTAACAATTGGTGTCAGAGGGGGGATTGTTGAATAAATCCCATAGGAAGTTCTGAAAATGGCAAAAATTCCAGAGCTAAAGATAGAGAAGCTCAAACAGGAGTTGGAGAAGCGAAGTTTAGCAACCTCCGGATGAAAAGTTGAATTATTATCACGGCTGCGAAAGGCAATGGAAAAGGAAGTCGTCGACGTTGACAAAAACGACTTCCATTGTGAGGACGACGAGGCATCCATGAATGGCAAAGACGAGGAAGAGGCTGCTGGTTCATCGAAGGATGTGGAGCAGACATCCACCTAAGGTTGAAGAGCAGGAAAATGCTCCTTGCGCGCCATATCGCAGATTTCATCGCAGATGCAAGCACAGGCAACACGCATGTCGTCCCAGCTGGAAGCACGGGATACACGTATAGCTCAGATATCATCGCAGATCCCAGAGAAGATCTCATCGCAGCTCGATGAAAAGATCACGTAGCTCCAGGAGAATTTAGTCAGAAACAATGCGCAACTCAAACAAAGGCAGGATAAAATCGAGGAAAAAGTGTGTGAGCTAGGTCTTCTCAGTGAATTGCAGTTGAATCGTCCAGCTGCTTCGACAAGCGCTCCCAAGGTAAAAACTCCATCCTTTGACGGCACGATTCCTTTCCAAGTCTTTAAGCTCCAGTTTGAAAAGACGGCTACAGCAAACCATTGGAGCATGGAAGATAAATCCGCTGCGCTATTCGTGGCATTAAAAGGGCCTGCAGCGGAAATCTTGCAGACTATTCCTGACTGTGAAAGGAACAATTACGATGCATTGAAGGGGGCCGTGAAAGACGTGGATGGAGCTGGAGAATCGCTACCAAAAAGCCAACGAGTCTTTACAGGAATCCGCCCGCGAGGTTGAGAGACTGGCACCTCGTAAGGGCAAAAATCCAGAGATTCATTAGCGGAATGCGGGACATGTACAACAAGCGAGAGACGTATGCGAATCCAAAGTAATATGCTCAGACACGTGAAACGGCGGCGCTCCTAAGTAGACCAGCCTACAAAGCCCATCGAGTACAAGTGGAGACACCTGACGCGATGAACGAGATCCTGAAAATACTCAAGTCGATGGCAGGGAAAAATACTCCTGGTACAACCGAGAGAAAGGATGGTGCTGGAAAATACTTTAGTTGCGGAAAACCAGTCCATTTTGCATGCGATTGTAAGACGGGTTCCAACAGGTCTAACAGTTCAGCAGTACGCAAACGCCGGGATGAGGAAAACTAGCCTAACTCCGATCAGTCGTTAAACTAAAACGAGCCAGCAGGAAAGGGCGCGCGCTAGCTTCCGAAATTGAATGCCCCATAATCTCCATCTCGCAAATTGGCAGAAAAGCGAGTAACGTTACAGTTGGTGGATATGTGAATGGGCAAGAGCGAGTACTAACTGTGGATACGGGCGCGTCACATTCCAGCATTCGATCTGATTTGCTCACTAAAGTGGTGAGGCTATTACCAAGGTTGAGGAGAGCAACTGGTGAGGACAATCAAGTTGTAGGAGAGGTAACATGCAAATACGCCATAGGGAATGTGGCGGAGTTACACAAGTTCATAGTCGCGGAGATTGTGGATTAAGTCATCATAGGAGTAGACCTCTCAAGGTATGCAGATCGACATGAAGAATAGGACCATGATGTATAAAAACATGGTAGTGCCACTTAGCTTTGGATATGATGGCCCGTACAGCAGCTAGCGAGTAATTCTAGAGGAAAGCGAACAGATTCCATCCAAGTCAGAAGGAGATTTTTGGACGAAGATCGATGGAGATTGTGCGACAAACAAGTTATGGGTTGTTGAAGCAACACAAAATTCTACACCGGACGTACTTATCGGTAAAACCCTGGCTAACAGGAAAAAAGATGGACGCATTCCAACTCGAGTACTTAATGCGTCCAAATCACCAATAAAGCTCCGAAGAGGAACCGGACTTGGACAATGTCGAGAAGTTGAGGCAATCTTTCACTGCGGTAAGTTACCTGAAAACGATTCCATTGGCGAGATTAACATTGCGGAAGACAGCACAAGGCTAAGGAACTTCTCCGCACATACCCCAACATATTCGACAAGGACGGCAAGAAACCAGGCAGGAGCAACGTTGTGAAACATCGCATTGATATTGGTGATGAAAGATTGGCCGACAGACTTTCCGGAGTGGTCCACTTGCCAAACGGGAAGCTGTAAACCAAATAATAAAAGAAATGAGCGAGAGTGGTGTGATTGAACCACCAGCGAGTCCATGGAGTTCACCGGTAGTACTTGTGAAGAAAGATGGTCAGATGCGGCTCTGCGTGGACTACCGGAAACTAAACGATGCAACGAAGGACAGCTATCCACTGCCCAGGATCGATGATACTGCGGACTCGTTGACTGGCACGAATGGTTCTCAACGCTCGACCTTAAGAGCGGTTATTGGCAAGTGGAGGTAAATGAGGAAGACAAGGAGAAAACAGCCTTCAACGTTGGAGATGGTCTTTGGCAATTCACGGTGATGCCCTTTGGATTATGCAACGCTCCTGCCTTTTTTGAAAGACTTATGGACCAGGTACTTAAGGGACTGCATTGGAAAACATGTTTGGTGTATCTCGACGAGATCATAGTATTGGCTAAAAGCTTTGAGGAACACCTGAAGAATTTGGAAGAAGTTTTCCAGAGGATAGCTGGCGCCGGTCTCAAACTAAGTCCTAAAAAGTGCTCACTGTTCAAGAAGGAGGTGAACTATTTGGGACATAAGGTGACAAAAGAGGGCGTCTGCACTGCGAAGGAGAAGATAGAAGCAGTAAAGGATTGGCCAAGACCTAGGAACTTACACGAGCTACGAAGCTTCCTATCGCCGATTTGTACCGAGTTTAGCGAGCGTTGCCACCTAGGAAAAATAGAGCCTTCGAGTGGAACAACGAACAGGAGGAGGCTTTCCAAGCTATGTACTGATCCTATGCTAGCGTACCCGGTTCCAGGTGCAACGTTTATTTTATTTATTTATTTACTTATCTAATCAACAAACAAGATGCTTACAGACTATATGACAAATATATACATAGAATAAGGGAAACCCTTATGGCAAGTGCCTTATGAGTAAAATCGAAGTCTAAAGAAGAACACTAAGCATTGAGTTGGGATAGAGTCCTTCTTAATGGAGCATTCATCCCATAAACAGTTTTAACAACACCCACAAAAAACAATTCATTACAACGAAGAATACGTGAGGGAACATTAAAACGAATTTTCATAAGGAGGTGCGAGCAATCTATAGTGACTGCAATTAAATCAAAGACAAAGCACATCGACAACAGAGTACTCCTGGACTCTAAGGACATGAGATTTGTCAATAAACAACGAGAACGATAGGACGAAATAGGGTCTACAAATTTCATCGGATGCAAAGCAAAGCGTATAAAAGCCCTCTGAAAAGACTCCAATCTGTTCACATGAACTGTATGAAAACGTCTTCAAACAAATACCGCGTATTCCAACCTTTGACTTGTTGCCGAATGCACGACGAATGTAGTAAAGGGTAATTTATCGTCTCGTAT